CATCACATTAGGGAAATGCAAATTAAAACCACTTTAAGATTTCACCTTACCTCAGTCAGACTGGCTAAGATCAAGGAACAAATGATCCCAAATGTTGGAGAGGATGTGGGGAAAGGGGAACACTCATCCACTGCTGGTGGGGCTGCAAACTCGTTCAACCCCTATGGAAAGCAGTGTGGAGAACCCTTAAAAAAACTACAAATGAACCTACCATTTGACCCAGTTATACCACTCCTTGGCATATACCCAAGGAACTCATCCTATTGCAGAGACATTTGTACATCCATGTTTGTTGTTGCTCTTTTCACAATAGTTAAGAGATGGAAGCAACTTATGTGTCCCTCAACTGATAAGTAGATAATGAAAATGTGGTTCAGTTACATGACGAAGTTTTACTCAGCAGTAAAGAAATGAAATCATGAAACTTGCAGGTAAATGGATGGAAAGAGAAACTGTTATACTAAGTGAAGTAACACAGACTCAGAAAAAAAAAAAAAAAACAAGGTATGTTCTCCCTTGGTGGATCCTAGCACCAAATCCTGATTAAGTGAGTATGTATCCAGACATATCTACAGGAACCAGGAAAATGGAAAGGAACCAGGGAGGTAAAGGAAAAGAAGGAATCTGAAAGAGAAGAGCAGTAGGAAACAGGCGTTAACAAGGGAGAAATGGATAAAAATGGGTTTAAGGGGAGGGAGAGGGAGGGTTATGCAAGGAACCTTGGGGATAAAGGGAAAGAAGGAGCTCAAGAGAGGTGGGACTGTAGGAGAAAGGTATTATTAAGGGAGAGATGGGAAAAATGGGGGCACTCTAAATGGGGAAACCATGGTGGAAGGGTTAGACAATGCGAGACATAAATAATGCCTAGCTAGTTTAAAAAAAAAACAAAACACCAAAAAACCAAAGGGAACCATATTAGTCCAACAACCTACTGACAAAATATACATACAACTAGCTCAAGGAACATAATATATGTCTAGTCAAAGTTTATCTGAGAGAGCCTTTGATCTTTGCCCAAGCTTTATCTACATAGCACATGGTAATTAAAAGTACCAGACTGGTGGAACTAACCTTCTTGGATGTTTAATAGCCATACTTTGAGGCCTATACTAATTTGGTCAGAGGAACTTAAAGGACAGTTTTTGCTCCTTGCCCCCCAAGGTCGACTAAGTTCAGGGGACTATGAGCATCTCTCAAAATGTCCTGTAACTGTGGTGAGTCACCTGTCTTCTTGATCAAGGAGGCCATGGAGACCCCACCAGATGGATTGAACCAGTGTCCTGTCTACAAAGAGGAAGGTCAACACAGAAGAAACATTTCCTCCATGCATCCAAGTGAAGCCATCTATGGTCGAGCAGGACCTTTGACTTATCTTCACATAGATGGAACTGGTAGAGGAAAGGAGCCAGGAGCTCCTCCTAAACCCATGTGACCCCTGAGGAACAGATCCTCAAACGACCTTAAGAGTAAAAATAAATTAGTTTATCTGGGCCAAATGCATGGTCTTAAATACCCAAAAGTAAAATATAACTAAAGATTAAAGGGATCAATATAATTATTTAAGAGTCCATGTGTATAGCTAAAGGCTATATAACAAGAAACAATGCCAGACAGGAGATGCCTTTGAGTTGTTGGCCAGACCGGCCCATGAGACTCCCAGACAGTAACCCAGCATAGAACTGGGAAAATGAACAACAGACCCCAATTTTATCTAAAGGAATATTGATAACTGATTGCTGCTAGATGAGGAAGAGCTGATCTTCGTAAAACAAGGAACTATAGATAGGCTGACTAGAATAGCAGATGGTAAGCACTGGGGAATGGCTGGGGGCACTGACGTGTCACTTGGGATGTGGCTATATAGATGAATAAGACTGTTTGGCATGTTCTGTATGAAATACACACAAAAAAAATCAATAAATTGAAAAAATGAGTTATATTTGAGGAAGAAGCATAAAAATTTTCTTCATGTTAATTAGTAGATGTGAAAAACATTACCATTGTTACTGATGACTTTATATCCATGCTCAGGTGCCAAGGATCTCAGAAAGTAACCGACTGTGACTAGTAACAATCATATATATGGAGATTAGAGATGCATGTGCAAACACCTAAGTGGTAGTTGCATTAAAAATGAGTTTTTCTGTATGAAAGAGTATATTTTAAAATGAAATGGAGATCTTTTTTAAAGGTTAAAACCTCATTCAATTTTATGTCTTATAGGGTTTATACTGAGTACAATATTGTATAACTGTATTAATTCAACTGCAAACCTAAAAATTTACAGCCATCTTAGCTCTGGAAATCGTTATTGACTATGTCAATGCTGTTGTCATGAAATGCTTCTTCTCACTATGTGGTTATTAAATAAATAATTTTAAAAATCACACAAAAAATAAATTTCAGTTAAATTACTTCAGGTGGAAGAATGCATTTATTATCTATAGAATGCATTTAAAATCCTATAGTTTAATGGCAGGTACAATAGTTTTTAAATACAAAATTTTAAATTAAAAAATAGAGGTTAAAATGTCTCATGTCAATTTCCCTTAAGATGTTTCTGCCTCCTCTCTCCCTTCCTTAGCTGGTTCCTCTCACACCTCAAATCAGTTCCATGAATGTTCACAGCCTGGGGGTCCTCTCTACCTTGTCACACAGTGAAAGCAGTTCAGAGGGAGAGATGCTCTATTAGCTAGTGTTAGAGGAGGCCTGCTTCACACCGAAAGGGCTATGTATGATATGTTGGTCATTATATATTTCCAAACAATCTAACCTATTGAAGCTTTGACTTAGTTGGAAAACTATAACTTAAAAACATATCACAAGTGCCCTAATATTTTAACTGAACTTTAAAATTAGTAATTGGTGATAAGTTGAACACTTAAGTAAAAACATGACTATAAAATTAAACTTTTTGTGAATTTTGGAAAGAGCTGCTCACATTTCTGCCAACTTAACAAGAAATGTTCCAAGAACTCGCTGTACTGTATCAGGGAGGTGGGGAGAGAGCTGTAATGCACACAGTTCCTAGTTTCAAAGGCTTTTTGCTTCAGAGATGATTTTCAAAATAATCAGACTATAGCATGGAAAGGGTGCAGAGAGTG